CTGAAATCACTGACATCCCACAAAGACAGTCCTCGTCCATACTTACTGCAGAAGGCCATCCTCGCTCGCATGGTTGGTCGTGTTCCGTGCNCCATCGCCCGACAAGTCAAACACGTCACTGCTGCCGCTGCTGCTGGCGCTGCTTGGATGCTCCGGTGAGGTGCCATTGTTGGGTTTCACGGTGCCGTACACAAGCAGGGTGGCCAGCTTCTCAGATAGCCCGTCTAACTCCTCCTCCGTTGGACACCCAGGATCCCCTACTGTCCACCCGTCGGTGTACACGGAGACGCGATCACATGCCATGAACAACTGATAGTCGGCGCCGTACTTATCACACAACTACTTCACCATATACGCGTCAAAACCACTGATTTCGAAGCCCGCTCTCTTAACAACGCTGAAATCCTGCAGCGATAGGTTTCCCCATGGGGCTCGCAGCCTGTTACCGACCGCCTGCTCGAGGATACAGACCGCGGTCTCCAAAGGAAGTTGTTCTTGAGTAAATCCCTTGGTGAGGACGAGGTCCACCTGCTCCGTCGTCGCTCCTGTGATGTAGGCCAGATCAACCTCATTTTGCGCGCTGAGCTTCTTATGGATGTCCGCGCCGCGCGGGGGCAACTTCCGTGCAGCCCCTCCCCCCTCGCTTGCCCGCTNTGGATGTCCGCGCCGAGCGGGGGCAACTTCCTTGCAGCCCCTCCCCCCTCGCTTGCCCGCTGGCTACCCGCCGTTGAGAGCTCGCGTTGAAGAACTTTGGCACGCGCGCGTTCGTCGCTGGCGTGGGCCGCCCCGAATGATGTCGAGCCGGCCCCTGGTGCGCAACGCCTTTCGGCGTTCTGCTTCTCCGCGAGGCCCGCCACCCTGATGTTGGCGAGCTTCTCTTTCTCAATCTTCTTCTCAGCCCTCATTCCAGCTTTCGCGTCCACGATCGCACCCAGCACTTTTTCCTGCATGAGCGCCAAGACACAGGCATCGCGACGTGTAGGCCGGACGACGTTAATCACCAACCCTTNNNCCCCGAATGATGTCGAGCCGGCCCCTGGTGCGCAACGCCTTTCGGCGTTCTGCTTCTCCGCGAGGCCCGCCGCCCTGATGTTGGCGAGCTTCTCTTTCTCCATCCTCTTCTCAGCCCTCATTCCAGCTTTCGCGTCCACGATCGCACCCAGCACTTTTTCCTGCATGAGCGCCAAGACACAGGCATCGCGACGTGTAGGCCGGACGACGTTAATCACCAACCCTTGTCATACCTGAAGTGTACCGCTCCAACATGCGGATAAGCCAATTCTCGAATGTAAATGCCATCACTCAAACACGAACCGTCCCGGGAAAAAAACAATCTGGCTAAACTCGCTTGTGTTGTCTGCGAACGGTCCTGTCTGAGTCTCGGAATGGTTTCGGGCGCCGCCGGTGCAGACAACGCCAACACGTCACGACGTATGTGTGCCCTAGCACTTGCCGTCCTGTTGTCTACATATGTCACCGTGCACCCGAACGAGATCGAAACTTGTTGCCAACCCATGCTCTTCTTGGCCTTCCCGCGACAGGGCATTGTGGGGGCGGGGAGCACAATCGAAGTCAACCAATCTTACAGGACTTTCGAGGCGCCAATGATAGCGACGAACACATGTCCGCGGGTTGGTGGTGTGAACGTGGGGGGAGGGGGGGGCTTGCTGTACCGACGTAGAAATTCCACTCAGGGCATTCGCTGTTGGTACAATAGGCATCACGAGGTTGTCCTATCGCTCACGCCTCTCACCAGCTTAATCTCATCTTCGCCAAGGTTTTCCGAGCCGTCTTCCCCCCCGCCGGTCGTGGCCGCGGCCTCATTCTCTGCTCCAGTCTTCTCGGAAACCATGGCGGTGAATTTGGAGATGATCGCAGTGTCACTGATTCCCTTGAACGTGATGTTCCACGGAGTTTCGCCCCGTATCTCCTCNCTTGCGACCTCTAACCTGCCAGCATTGAAACTTGAGCCCTGCGTCAAACATGACAAAGCGCCGGAAAAAAAAAACAGGAGGAGACATGCGCAAAGATTTGAAACGCTCTTGGTTATTTTTTCACAGCTGCGCATGATGGCTGAACAACACTGCTGCATGCTAATAAGATAGAAGATGGCAGCAACCGGGGGGATGTAACGAAACCCATGGTGCGTGGCAGATGATGTGGATGTGCAATATGTGTGTCTCACTCAACAGGAGGGCGCGCGCGATTTTTTATTTTTGAAATGCGGATCAAACCAGTCACCTATCCGTGCTATTAATACATGCCTGGTACCACCTACGTACGCTGGTAAGCTATCCATCAAGGGACAATCAAAGGACGTGCTACAACT